GTCAACGAGTTCCACGACAGGCGATTCGAATGCACAGGTTACATTCCTACCAGTACTGGCCCTGCCGGTGTTAGTACCTACAACGGTATATCTGGTGCACAACGAGCTTGCCAGGCTATTGGATCCGTTGCTGGGCAGTCATACGTCGAGGGAGACGCCTACATCAATTCGTCTTTCAATTACTACATCAAGAACAAATGGCGCAACTTTGGAATTCTCTGGGCGTTCATGATCGCTCTCATGATGGTCTATCTCGTTGCTACAGAATACATCACTTCTAAGAAATCTAAGGGTGAAGTTCTTGTTTTTCGTCGCGGCCACAAGTTCGCCGTTCCCAAGAGCAAGTCACATGATGACCTCGAATCTGCTGATCCTGGCCGCAGCGTTGTCGCGCAGAATAATAACTCGGATGATATCGCCATCATCGAGCGCCAGACTGCCATCTTCCAATGGGAGGACGTATGCTACGACATCACTATCAACGGGGAGCCTCGCCGCATTCTCGATCACGTCGATGGATGGGTTAAACCCGGTACTTTGACTGCGCTCATGGGTGTGTCAGGTGCTGGCAAAACAACCCTTCTGGACTGCTTGGCTACGCGCACAACTATGGGTGTAATTACAGGTCAAATGCTAGTAGACGGTCGGCCCCGTGATGATTCCTTCCAGCGCAAAACAGGTGAGTCTTTGTCTCTAGCTGAGCATCTACTACTTTGTCAAAAGAAGAACACCCGCTAACTCGATACCAGGTTATGCCCAGCAACAGGATCTCCATCTGTCCACCTCGACCGTTCGTGAAGCCCTTACTTTCTCTGCTGTCCTACGTCAGCCAGCGCACGTACCTCGTGAAGAAAAGGTTCAATACGTCGAAGAGGTTATCAAGCTCCTGGAAATGACCGAATATGCCGATGCAGTTGTCGGTGTGCCTGGTGAAGGTCTTAATGTCGAGCAGCGAAAGCGCCTTACCATCGGTGTGGAACTAGCTGCTAAGCCTGCCCTTCTGCTCTTTTTGGATGAACCTACCTCTGGACTCGACTCTCAAACATCTTGGGCTATCCTGGATCTCCTTGACAAGCTGAAGAAGAACGGTCAGGCTATTCTATGCACCATTCATCAGCCTAGTGCCATGTTGTTCCAACGTTTCGACCGTCTGTTGTTCTTGGCCCGTGGCGGAAGAACCGTCTACTATGGGGATGTCGGCGAGAACTCACGTATCCTTGTTGACTATTTTGTTCGCAACGGTGGCCTTGCCTGCCCCCCTGATGCTAACCCTGCCGAGTGGATGTTGGAAGTCATTGGCGCTGCTCCTGGTTCGCATACCGACATTGACTGGCACCAGACATGGCGCAACTCCCCAGAGTATGCCGCGGTCAAGCGCCATCTCGCTGAGCTCAAGTCGGAACGCGGCCAAGCTCAAGCTCTTCAGCGTACCTTATCTGCACAGAAACTAGAGGACAAGGCTGCCTATCGCGAGTTCGCCGCACCGTTCATGGTCCAGCTCCGTGAGACAACCGCTCGTGTCTTTCAACAATACTGGCGCAGCCCTTCGTACATCTACTCCAAGATCTTCCTCTGTGTTATGTCGGCCCTCTTTATCGGTTTCTCGCTCTACAAGATGCCCAACACCCAAACCGGCCTCCAGAATCAAATGTTTGCTATCTTCATGTTGATGACCATCTTCGGTCAACTGCTCCAGCAGATTATGCCTCACTTTGTCACCCAGCGCGCCTTGTATGAGGTTCGCGAGCGACCCAGCAAGGCCTATTCTTGGAAGGCTTTCATGATATCCAACATTTTCGTGGAACTTCCGTGGAATTCACTCATGGCTGTGTTAATCTTTTTCTGCTGGTATTATCCTATCGGTCTCTACAAGAATGCCGAGTTGACCGACAAAGTCGCCCTCCGCGGTTTTCAGGTATTTCTTTTCGTCTGGTTATTCTTGCTCTTCACCTCGACCTTCACGCACATGATCATTGCTGGTGTCGAGTCCGCCGAGACTGGCGGTAACATCGCCAACCTGATGTTCTCGCTCTGCCTCATCTTCTGTGGTGTCCTCGCTCAGCCTTCGACGTTTCCTCGTTTCTGGATCTTCATGTACCGTGTTTCACCTTTTACATACATGGTGTCTGGTCTGCTGTCTGGTGGTCTCGCCAACAGTCGCGTACAGTGCGCCCAAAACGAACTCATTCGCGTCCAACCAACTGAAGGCCAGACCTGCGGCGAATACATGCAGCCCTGGGTTAACCGTAATGGTGGCTATGTGGCCAATCAGAACGCCACTAATGACTGCAACTTCTGTGCCATCTCAGATACCAACGTTTTCCTCAAGAGCATTTCATCTGACTACAGAGACTACTGGCGTAACTTTGGGTAAGTCAGCTACAGACCAATATTTTACCAAAACATTACTAACTTGTACTTGTAGTATCCTCTGGGTCTACATCATCTTCAACATCTTCGCGGCCCTCGTCCTCTACTACCTCGTCCGCATGCCTAAGCCCAAGAAGCAGAAGGAAGAGAAGCAACAGGCTGGAGCCAACAACCAGACAGCACCCAATGAGTCTTCACCTGCTGGCAACGGCTACACCTCCGACTCTGGTCGCCAGGGCGAGAAAGAAGACGATAATGCTCGCTACGCTTCCATAACTGGAACCAGCACACCCCCAGTGCAACCTAAGGAACTGTCGGAAAAGGCATAAACTGCCTCATCCCTTGTCATGTGGTCCATCTTTTCTAAACTTTTATGCCCGAGCTTTCATGTTTCTAATTTGGCATAACGTGCTGGATAAGCGAGTTGGCCAGGCAAGCGAGTTGGCCACCCCACCAAGTTTGCGCATCTTTATGAACGTATATCTCAACAACGCAATATTATAATATATAGAGAGTAATAGAGTGGACTAAGTAGTATCTAGAGTATCTTTTTTGCATGTACGCGAATTATGACCAGTCTCTCTACACCTGCTACACCGCGCTAGAGCCTGGCGGCTAACACCTGATCGCTCCCCTCCTTGACGCTCTTCATGAGCAATCTGCTGATCAGCCTCGCGCTGAGCGAGTAGATCCTCGCCGGCTCCCTTTGTAAGGACTCCACGCTTCTGTACTCCCGCTTTTTT